ATTTAATGTATAATAATATTTTGTATTAGATGCATAGTTCTAGAGAGTGATGGTATACTATCCTCATTAAGGATTCATTAGATCTCTCCGAATCCAATGGCAATTTTTTTGTCGAAGCTTGAGCTATGCTGCCCAAATACATCCCGAGGTACTCGCTTGCACTTTCCCCTTACCATAAATCGGTTTCAAAATAGGTCTATTGAGCATAGATTGACAAAAAAGTCAGCTACTCGTAACAAATGGGCGGGTTGAGTGCATGAACAACGCTGAAACATGCAAGGGTTAAGAAATATTATTATAAGTCGAACCAACAGCTTAAAGAGCATCTTTATAACTTTGTTGTGGCTTATAATTGCGCAATACGCAAAAGACTAGCCCCCCCCCCTACAAAACAAGGAAAAAGTGGCAAAACCCCTTGTATTTTAGACAATTAAGGGTTTAAAAAATAGAAGAATTTGAAAAAATCGTGCAAAAAAGTGAGGCTGTAGTGGAAAAATGGAGGCAAAAAAAGAAAGGGCACGGAAGAAAATCGCATGGTAAAACACTAGAAGGCGAAATATTCATGCATAATACATCCATCTTTGGGATTTTTATTTAACTTGCACAACTCAAATATCTGCTTACTACTGAAGAAAATGGAGTCATTATTAGCCAAAAAAAATTACTATACAAAAATATAGAAAAAAAACCGCTAACATCTAACATCAGAACAAAAGGAACATAATCGGAAGTTGATATCGTTAATGGTGAGGGTGAAAAATAAGATACGAGAGATCAAGATTTTTAACATTATATCAAATGTCTATCGCAACTTTGATAAGGAGCATAACATAAGATTCAACATTATTACTCGCATTGTAAACGTAGTGATTTATACTTAATCATCGCCATCATGCTTTGGGAGTATATATTTTAGCATCCCTGGAACTGTACATCTAAATCTATTTCTTTTTCTTATAGAGATTACTCCATACTTTATTGTTAGTGAATATAAAAAATATCGTTAAAATTATAAAGTAAGTTACTACTTTTAAACCTAGCTTGTGCCGATGTTCTAACTCTGGTTCCGCTGCCCAATGTAGAAAATTAACTAAATCATACGTCATGTTTTCAACCGTAGCCTTTCTGTTACCATTATACTCTATCAACCCTTCAGATAGCGGTGGTGCCATTACATGATCAGACCTCTAACCCTTAAGTGTAGTGAATTTAAAAAAGCGGGAGAGAGGCGGGTTGTAGTTCAGGATTTTAGGAAGAACATAAATGTTAAGGCAGCTTTTATGCCAAGTCTATTTTTGAATCGCAAACTGACAGGAGGGGATGAGCAATCTAAGTTGGCACAGTTTAAAAAATCTTTCTATAAAAATTAGAACAATATCTAAAATTATTTCCAACTTTTTTGCAAGATTTGAAAGTGTTAGGGAGGGTTTAATAGATATATCATGGGCGTAAGTGAGGGAGTACACATGTTACGATGATTTAAATATTATAAGCCTTGCCCGAGAGCATATTGCTAGTAAGCTATATCACTTTTTTTTGCATGATAGAGCTCCAATTATTGAACTAGTACAAATACTAACTTATAAAAAAGAAAGACTTGCAGTAGATACGGCGCAATGTGGTGAAAATAGATAAAGCTGAGAAGGTTCGTAGTTATTTTGCCAAACCCGCATTTTATCTATTTATTCCAACATTGTTAACAGCAATATTTACTCGTGGAACTATAGGTAATAGTTGTACTTATACTATAATAGTCATGCGGGCTTGTATAATTATTGGAGTGGTTACAACAATTTATCTTATAGTTCATGTAGCAGATTATAGGATTGAGATTGATAATTCACGTATTGAGCAGATTAATGTATAGCAGCAGTACCCTAATTTTTACATTAACTCAATTCTATACAACTTAATTTTGCACGGGGCCATAGTAGGCTTTGTGCTCTCTATGGCAATTGCAAAATTTTGACGTGAGAAGTAGTGGAAAATGATAAGTTAATTATATACACTCTTAATAATGAAATCTTAGTTAAAAAAGTTTAAGCTTTTGTGTATATCTTTATTTAATTTTAATTATGTGTGTTAACTACAATATTAGTACTAAAGTGATTCAATCTCTGTTAGAATTTACTAATCAAGAGGGGAATGAAAAACTCAGAGAGTTTATTAAGTATTTTTATAACTTTGTTTACAATAGCGATCTAAGAGTAAACAAAAAATTTTTACTTTATATTGTAAAAGATGCTTNAA